TAATTCTTTAAGCCCAACCAATTCAATTACCTGTCAAATCTGGTCAGGACGGCCTTTCAGGCCTTTTTTATTGTCATTATAGTATTACGTGGAACCCCGTAGCAGCCACATCCGTGCTCAAGCCTCCAAAGGGAACATGCGGGAGCTGCAACCACCAGCAGGTGCGATACCTGCTACAGCAGGTGAGCTATACCCGCCAGGGGTCAGCCGGTAGCATCAAGACCGAGCTTCTTCGATGGGCCATTCACTGTGCCTCCCCTCCGGTCCCCTCCCCCTATGAACATCAGCAGTCTCTGCTCAATGCCACTCGGGGGGACCAACGGCATATCTCTAGGTGGTGGGCGCCAAGCTTGCCCAGGAAGGAACATGAGGGCAATGGGGATTGAACCCAAGACCTCCTGAATGCCACTTGCGTGCCTTACCAACTGAGCTAGGCCGCTGGATTGACTCGCAAGCAATTCCACTCGGGTTGTTCTACTAACCAAAAAAAAAAAAAAAACTAGCACGCAATGAAATTGTGCACAGAGACTAGGATAAAAGATCTCCGACATTCTGTGATATCACAAGACTGTCACAGTTCTTGAGGGACGAACGGCTTTTTGCTGTTGAGGCCGCCAGCATAGAGACAAACATATCTGCACTGTACACATACACACTGTTTGTTGCTGGGGCCGGCATAGAGACGAACGGATATGCAGGGTACATAAACCCAGAAGAGACTCTGGGGGCCTGCCTACATTATGGTTTGTGGACCCTTTGGACATTCAGGAACTCGGCAACGGGAGGGGGGAAAGACTGACGCCGCCGATGGTCGGGGCACAAATTAACACAACATCAAGAAGACACTTTTGGCTGACTGGGAGGATCATGTGCAAAGGAAGGGATACTCAAGGAAAGCAATGCAGTAGATTAGGAGACCTCAAGTGACCAGTAGATTAGGACAGGTGAAGAAACGGGTGCCACACTTTAACTGCAGTCTGGGCTCTGCTTGGCCAGAGAGCCTTGCTCAGTCTGAGTACTGCTGCAAACTTTGTGAAGGCCCGCTTCTCAGCATAGCTATGATTAAAAAAAAAAAAAAAAAGCGATACACAACAAAAAAAAAATCCTTCTCACTCACCTCTTCATAGCCCAACTCGTTCAAGAAGACAAAACAGGGCGAGTGGCTGAACCTCACAGGCGGTGGCACACGTGGAACAATGTCATTGTTGTTCACGAATCTGAGATATCTGAAACCGATCAGTTTGCCGTCATCTCCAATCATCGAAGTCATCCTCGTGCTAGCCGCGCAATCCAGAAAGCGAGCAAATTTGTAGCCCCCAGTCCTTGGCTGGCCAAAGGTGCACAGCCACTGAACTCTCGGCTTGACAAGGTTTTCGGGATCGTCATCGACCAGCAAATGGGCACAGAAAACGGATGCCAGAGCGGCCCCAAGGCTGTGCCCAGTCACGAAGACGTACAGGTCTTTGTCGCAACGCAGTTCCTCCATAACGCGATCTCTCACAATATCGTACGGCGTCCGACTCTCGTCCAGCAATCCCATCTCCGTTGCAATCCCATCAGCATTGATGAGCCTGTACCATGGGATACTTCTACAACTGTTTGGTGGAGTCATCAAGGCATCATAAAACCCTGCATGCATGTTCCCCAGCAGGGCTCTATCGGGGTTCTTGTCACTTCCTTGGGGTGCCTTCAAGGCAGTTTCAAGATCGACCAGCCAATCAAAAAGGTTGAACGGCTCTGTGCCCCGAAAAGCAACAACAATGGCTGTCTTGTGCTTGAACACGAATACCTGTGTGCCTGTCATACACACAAAAACACAAGGCGGCCATATTGACTTTCTTCACAAGTGAAAAACAGCCTTAGACTAAACTGCAGCGTAAATTGACTGTTGCAATTCGCTTGCTTGGTATCCAAATATCTCCAGCTCAACTGTCTCCACGGCAGGTTAGGGCAGTGGGTTCAGGCAATGACTAAAAAATTTCATCGGCGGCCTGTTTTTCATTTTTGGGTGGTTCAGGCAATGATAAATTTCATTGGCAGCCTGTTTTCCGTTTCCGGCCGTCAAACTGCCCTCGGCATGAATGGCAAAGGTACTAGTAGTTTAGACCACCACTCCATCCTGACCTATTTTGAAAAATCAAAAGTCACATTTCCCCGAGCCTAGGGACGTCTGCTACAGACTCCCCATTCCCCCCCAGAACCACCACAGACCCAGCTGGGCCCGCCAACACCTCCCGCGGCCAGAAGGAACCCCACTCAGACTCCCCTTGGCCCCTCCCCTCTAAACACAGTCACAACCCTGCTCCCCCCCAATCTCACCTCTCCCACCCCTCACCACCTCTCCCTCTCCCAGGGTAACCCCCTCCTTCCACTCCCTTACCCCCTCCCTCCTGTCCTTCTCTGTCACCCAACCCTACACAGCAGCTGTAGTCAAGTCCTGGCCAAGTGAAGCCACAGTGACCCGTAGCGAGCAGCAGCAGCGGAGGTACTCAGCCCAGACAGAGAATGGAAAGCGGAGTTGAGAAACATCAGAGACTGAGTACACTGGGAACAGCCTGGGGACTCAGCAGAAGTAAGAGCCTCAACCACACAATGTCATGGCACGGGGTGCCCATACGTGATACCTTCGCCTCATATGGCTCTTCTCAGAATCTATATTGATATTTGCTCTTTTCTTATGGTATGGATTTAATTCAAATGTTTTCCCGAGCTGGCCTCAGAGGTGCAGGGCTCCTGTTGCTCGGTTTGACCAAGTGCTTTTAAGGGGGAGAAGCCTCCCATCTATCCGATACAGGGTTAAGGAAGAGAGACTTTAGGAAGCAAGTGGGAGGAGGGAGAGGGAGGGACTTTACAAGAGAACACAGTCAGTCTGATCCCGGAAGCACTGCACAGAAGTAGGTTAACCCTTCCCCCATGAAGAAGCAATCAATGCCTCAAATAGCCACACCACCCACAGGGAGAAAAGGGATTTCATGGGGGCCCTCAGACTGGACCTAATGTCCACAGACTCGCGCTGGGGCAGAGAGACAATGTAATCCACAGGGATGCTGGACCCCATTTACAGCACCTGCAGCTCCCCACTAATAGATGGAGCCTCTAAAAACTGAGGGGAGGGCTGCTCTTATATCACCCTGTTAAGCCGAACCACCCATACAACATGAAGTTGCAAAAGCAGAAAAAAGAAATAACGGAGGACGCAGCATGTTTTCAAACCCTAAAGGCAGAAAAAAACTGCGCCGGCAGAGAAACCACAGGCCAACTTGAAATGAGCGATTTCGGTCCAAAAGTATCCGTTGGGCATTTTCTTTCTTTATTGGTTTTCCCCTCTGACACCACGGCCCACCCCTATAAATAAATATGACACCCGGTCGGACACCATGGCCGTCCATACTTCCGTTGCCTTTTCAAACTCACTGTCCATACTTCCGTTGCCTTTTCAAACTCACCGTCCATACTTCCGTTGCCTTTTCAAACTCACCATCCATACTTCTGTTGCCTTTTCACACTCACCGTCCATACTTCCATTGCCTTTTCAAACTCGGTGCGGTTTTCTTTGCCGACGCATGGCTTTTTTGCCCATTCGGTACTCCACCGTCCATACTTCCATTGCCTTTTCAAACTCGGCACGGTTTTCTTTGCCGAAGCGTGGCTTTTTTGCCCATTCGATACTCCACCGTCCATACTTTGGTTACCTTTTTAAACTCACCGTCCATACTTCCACTGCCTTTTCAAACTCGGCGTGGTTTTCTTTGCCGAAGCGTCAGGGTGGCTTTTGTGCCCATTCAATACACAAAGGTGACATGAACGTACTTGCCCCCCCCAAAAAAACATGAAAACAAAAAGCGAAAGAAAGATAACCAGTGCAGCGCTGAGCAAACATAACTTGGAAAAGTGAACTATGCCCCCCAACAAATGATTTGTACTCATTTGCCCCCTCAAAGTGTCGGAGGTCCCCAACAGCTCAAGGTGTGGGGGGGATTCTGAACTCCGGACACCAGCTTTTGGGGGCATGTCGGACCTATTCCCACAGTCCAGGGGCAAACAAGTACTAATTGTGGTACCAGGCCTGGCCACTGTAGATTTTGGCCTGCCAGTGGTCCTTGTATACAACAAATATGAACAGTGCAGGGGCCATTGGAGTGGTGGATGGACATCCTATTACAAAATGGTTAACAAAAAAAAAATAAAAAATGGTAATTTTAATTTACCAAAGAATAAGTTGAACTTATTTGCCTATTTGCCCCTCACATCAACAGATGAACGTCTGAGGCCTCCTTGAGGCAATCTTGGGTCCTTTCTACCTTGGTACCACCTGAAAAGGAGCGTAAGGGAGGTCTCAAAGCGTCAGTGCCGTCAGCAAACTGGTGGTGGTGATGCTCCCGGGTGGAGACATGGGAGAAAAAGAATGCGATGGGGAGAGGGAGGAGTGAGATGGGAAAAGCCACCCTACCTTGAGGTTCAAAAGAGTATCCCGCAACCCATTCCATCTGTGCCAAATCCACAAAGGAGCAGACACCAGCGGTCATATCAGGAAATTTAAAGCAATTTGCAAGGCAATACATAGCAAGAAACAGACAAAACCACATACTAGAATGATAGACATACGATGAGTGCACCAAACACGGACGACTACGGAGATACACTGACTGACCACAGAAGAACAGAAAAAAAAGTAGGCTAAGCACAAATGTGAAGCCGACTACCAAAATTGAATCCCTGAAACTGAGCAAGGACAGCACACCCATAACCCAACAGACCAACGCAAAGAGAGAAACACAGCGACAGCCAGACAGGCAGGCAACACAAGCCTTAGGACAAAACCAACAGATGGATGCAGGCCTGCGAAGTTCACATTAGGCCTCAGAAAGATGTAAGTGATACATATAACTGCTCTACAAGATCAGAATGATGCAAGCATTTCGTCAAAACGGACATTTTATATTTTTTGAACGACATTGAAACCTACTTATGTCACCCTAAAAATGTCACATTGAATGATTGAAACCTACTTTTGTCGGGTCGTAGCTCCTGCGAGTCCGTCTGAACTTACTGGACCAGTACTTCCTGAAGTTCAAAAGTTAAGCTCAAATTTTTTTAAGCCACAATTCAAGGAAACATACCCGGTCCAGCCACCACAGCACTGTGACAGCAGTGCTCAAATTCATCCAACTAGACATTTCTACTCTATGTTTTTCCACAGCCAATAGCTGGGCTGAGTACTGGTGGTTTACGAATGGGCCTGTGACTGGACTGCAAAAAAACGTTTCAATTGTAAATCAAACATGTTTTTTCATGCGACCATAGGTTCCTCCTTTGTCTTCTTCAGTGTGCATCCGCACGCGCAGAAAAATATGAGCTGGTGCGGCCTCCTTTTGACTAATCCCCAGCCATGCTCGAGAGGCCAATCCCTGAAAGTTCAGCACATAGACCGTTAACGTGAAGCGCCCTCGGCTGATGTATGAGCCAAGCACTGGTGGTGTAAATGACCAATGCATGTTAATCTTCACCTTAGTGTGTCATCCCAATTTCAACAGACATCCCAAAGGACACCATATACCTCCCACAAATTGACACCATATATTCCAAAGGACACCATATACCTCCCACAAATTGACACCATATATTTTCGTTCTCCCTTCATTTTGGACCAGTTCTCAATTCACGAGTGTTCTCCCCCGGTGCCCCCCAGAGAGGGCGCATAAGGTCCCACGACCACTCAGGCTAAGCCTGGTGATGGCCCTGCTGTACTTCAAGTTCAGAAAAGGTGTTCGTGGTATCTGTGATGCTGGACCCCGTTTCCAGCAAGTGTTCGTTTGTGCGCATTTGTGAAGTACCTTCTTTTTTTGTTTTTGGTTTGATTGCAACTGCTTTTTCCTTCGCCACACAGTTAGCTCAAAAAAATATAAAAAATAGAAATAAAAACCTGCTACCGGAATGATATGTATAAAAAAAATAGAAGGGAAAACCAGGCCACTGTTGCGGTTTCAGTTTGAAAACTCGTTTTAAGTTGCGATTTTGCAAATGTTGTGTAAAAGCAAGGAAAATTGTGAATGTATACAACCCAGCTTTAGAGTCAAGTATGTGCTGTATTCAAGGGATGCCTGAACTGGATTTAAAACTGAAATCCTGAGTGTGCAAATTCATGAGCCAGAGCAATAGACAGAAACCTTGGCATGTTGCAAAATCACGAAGTAGTCCAGATAGCCATGTACCAAGCAGAAAGCACAATGCACCAAGATGATAAGATCCCACGCACATAAAAAGCAATACAAAGAAGTCAGCCAATGCTGACACTCCTGGTCACATCAGCACTGTATCCAATGTCCCTCCTACTGTCTACCGCCCAGCACCCAGCCTTCTCTACTCAGCCTATCTAGCCTATCTACGTTCAAGCGATTGGATCAGACCGAAGTAGAAGATCAAAGTATGTGACGTCAACACCAATGCTGATCACCGGCATACACCAGTTTTTTTTTGTTTTTTTTTTTTGGAAGACATGCTCCAATCTATTTGTGGGGAGCAGCACGTGCTGGGAATCGGGCCCAGCGTCCCATTAGGTATGTTATCTCTCCTCTCATCACCCCTTCATTGCCTCGTGATGCGCCTCCTACCCGAAGACCACCACCTCGCCATCACCTGCATTGTGCCCCTGCAACCCCGCTATAGCTGCTGTGCGCCCGCTGCCTCAACCCATGCGCGCGCCCAATCCGCAGCGCCCATGCAGTCACTAAAGTGTGACACTGTCCGCATTGCCTGCCAAGGGGCTCACACTTTCCTTTATGAAAAACTCGGGGCTGTCTGTCCTGGCCAGCTAAAATCTTGAGAAAACTACGGCGCAGTCAGGGTTACAGTTTGTAATTGCATGTGAAACTGCTTTTCAGCAGTTTCGTCAGGGCCCGAGTTTCAATTGCATTTGAAACTGCGTTTTTGCAGTTTGAAACTCGGACTGGCTTTTTCTAGCAGTTCTGTCAAAACATGGCCCTTTCTTTCTTTCTTCAGTTTTTTTTTTTTTTTTTTTTTTTTTT